ATCTGAGTACTGCTGGGATTATGGGTGTGAGTGCTACACACAACCTGGGGCTACACACAACCTGGGGTGGATAGCCTACGTCTAACATAAGAGAGACAGAGACAGACTTGCTCTCTGTTGCCATTGTTGCTGCTACTCCTCCATCTTGCTCTCTGCTCTTTGCCACCGACATGAAAGGTTGCTGTCTGGCATGTGCCGGTCTGCCTTGGAGCCAGCCGAGTATGGACTGAAACTTCCCGTAACTGTGAGCTGAATAAGCCTTTCCTTCCTGCATTTTGGGTGTTGGGTGTTTGTCCCAGCAACGAGAGAAGAGTAACTGAGACAAAAGCCAAGCAGATTGTTGCCAGGGGCTGTGGGGGAGGAGGGTGACGAGGTGGAGCTCAGGATTTTCTGAAGCAGTAAAATATTCTGTAGGATTTAGTAACAGTGGACTCAAAACACAATGCATTTGTCAAAACCCATGGAACTTTATAGCACAGATGAATTTTATGTAATTATGGGCTAAATAAGGTACATTTTGTTTGCCTTTATCGTGTGTGTGTGTGTGTGTGTGTGTGTGTGTGTGTGTGTGTGTGTGGTGTACGGAAGGTTGAACCCAGAGCTGCATGCACGCTATGCAAGTGCTGTGCCATTGAGGTATGCCCCAATCTGTCTGTGTGATAAAGAAAATTAGGGTTCTGTCAGTCAAAGAAAATGACTTTTCTTTTTACTGTCACTCTATCCTCCTGATCTGTCTCCCACCTGGCCCAGCCACCTACTCACTGAGCCTTTCTGTGTCCACGTGAGCTCAGTCACCAGCCTGATTATTTGCATAGTCCTTCTGCTCTTCCCTGCTCTGTCCTACTGGGTTCAGACCCAGGATGAACTGCAGCCTCATGGAGGCTGTGTAGGGCTCTGGTCCCCAGGTGATGGGAAAGGACCCTGTACCCAGGAGGGACTGGGACAGTGCTGAGAACTTCTACAGGACAAGGGACTCACCTGGGGGACAAGCAGCAGCCTCCCTGGAGGGCAGGCTTTGTGTCCCTTAGATTGTTGAGCTCCCAGTCCTGTCCTGATTAGCACGCGCTCACTATGCATAACTCCTTTCTCAGTCCGGGCCACTGGGTCCTCACCCGTCTTCATCCTCCTTTATCACTCACTCTTTCTTATGCATTCTTTCAGCCTTTACTGATTTCAGCTTGGATGTTGTCCTGAAGGCCCTGAAGTCCAAGGTCTTGTTCTAAAGGAGGGACCAAGGCCCCAGCTCCCAAAGGGACAGAGTGACAGGCACAGAGGCTGGGGAATGCTGACCCAGCAAAACATGCAGGTCGTATTTATTCTTAGGAGTCTGACCCATCACAGCCAGTTGGACCCTCAGCACCCTTGTCCCCTGTGACCTTGAGACTGAGAGATTCCAGGAGCCCCAGAACCCCACCTCCTGGGGAGTGAGTGGGAGCCAGTGGCCTGCAGTGTGTGTGGGTGTAGGTCTGATGGTGGTGGAAGCTTGAAGTGAAAATTCATAAGCACAAGTGGAGTGGATGGATCCTGTTCCAGCAATGAATCCTGGGACCCTGGGCAGCCTCCTGGGAACAGGGGGCTCAAAGCACAGGGTCATCCATACCCACTGAGGGGCTGCTGGGCCCACCCTGGTCCCTGAGGGAAATGGCAGCTGAGCAATGGGGTTGTGGGATTGATCAGGTGAGGGCAGAGGCAGGGCTGCAGACATAGGGGGCAGGGAGGGGAGCCTGGCAGAGGGAGGCTGTCCAGGCCCAGCTCAGCCCCTCCTCTTCTCAAGGGTCTTGCTCTTAGCACCCCCTGCTCCTTGTGAGCATGCTCATCCCTAAGGCCAGGTGCGCATGCTCAACCTGGCAGCCCTGAGGGTCACACTGGTCCCTTCGTCCCTTCCTGGTCCTCACTTGGCCACTCTCCTGCTCATTCTTCCCAGGCTGGCCATGTGGCTCATATCCTTCAGGCTTCACTTCCTGTAGCAAACAGTGACTCTGTCATGTGGGGTCCCTGCCTGGCCCCCTCCCCAATCCTCTTCTGTATCCCTTCACCTCTCCTCCTTCCTCGAGCCTTGAACACCCGCACACGTGCTGGGCCCTGGCAGCAGGGCAGTCCAGTCCTTCCATGGCTGTGGGGAGCTACATGACTCTGAAGACATTCTGGCCATGACACCCACGAGGATGTATGGAACTGGGGGAGGGAGAGTCTGTGGGCAAGGGAAGTGAAGGAGCTGGAGCCAGGCCATGGAGCAATGCGAGTTTATTGTCTCTGAGGAGTGAGGGTTGTGATCCCAGCACACAGTGGGGGAGTCCTTGTGTCCCTCTGCCTGGGTTCCATAGGCAGAAGTGTCTGAGATGGAGAAGGGGAAGCTGGAGTCTGGTCTTAGCTGCCTCTTCTTGTCCCTCACAGGGGCTAGGCAGCCTGCTCAGGGCAGGAACCTTCTGCAAAAAAACCTTCCCCCAAACCAAAAAGCCATCATCTTTTCTGTGAGGAGCAAGGCCTGTTTGCCTGCCTTCCTGAGTGAAGGTGTCCGACAAGGGCATGGTGGGAGTCCAAAGTGGAGGCCAAGGGGCCCTTCCTGGCACCTCACAAAGGGGTATCCCCCTGGGTATCCTGGAAGGGACAGGAGATGACAGCTGGAGGTGGAGAACACCCCACACCAATGGCTGAGTGGGGGTGCTGGGGAGGAAGCTCACAGCAGGGTCCAGAGGAAGCTCAGGCCTACTAGGGGCAGGAGCTCCGCTAGGCTGACCCAGAGCTCCTCCTGCCTGCTGGCTGCCTTGTTGCAGAGATTCTTGGAGCAGCAGCCCCTGACAATCTTGGCCTGCACCCCCGTGGTCAGCATCCACTCATACGAGCTGCTGTTGGAGGGACATCTTGGGGCACAGCGTTTGCTGATCTGAGCTTTCTTCCTTACATCTGTGAAGACAGGAGATGATGGGTGGCCCCAGAGACACAGGTGAAGGAGAGCAGCATGGGGCGTCTGAGCAGAGGGATCTGGTGCTGCGAAGGGCGCTGAGGCTACCTTCTGCTGTCTGTTTACAAGTGGGGCTGCTCAAGGTCACCTCCAAACAGGCACAGCAAAGAGCTCTTCCTTGTACCCTGACACGCCTGAGCCACCTCCGGCCCAGGGCATGACAATCCAGGGAAATGGAATGAAAGAGGAAGAAGGGAAAGCAACTGATAGTCACAGAGAAACTGTGGGGTGCTTGGGGGTCGGGGGCTGTTTGTTCAAAGTTGTAGCAGAGACTTCCAGAGCAATGTCATTTCTAACAACCAGGAATCCATCATCCCAACCTGACTAGAGAACGGGTCATTTTGGGTAGAGTCTATCTCTTATGTTGTGTTACAGTTTACCATATTATGTTGAGTCATATGCTGTATTGCATTGCATTACATCCTACTAAGCTGCAATGTATTCTGTTACATAGTGTGGTAATTATTTACATCCTATTGTAATGTTGTAATCTACTGATCACATTCTATTGCATTATGAAGTATTATGCTGTGCATTATAACACTGAAGTGTATTGGACTGTTGTGGTAGCACATTGCAGGCTACAAAGAACACTCCTCAGTGGCACAGGACGTAGGGTAATGAGGAAGTCTCTAGTAGAGCACGGAGCACTGAACCACCTTTGAATCTCAGACTCTGAGCAGCTGTCCCCCAGGCTGTGCCCCACTGCTGATCTCAAAGGTCAGGGAACATTCCCTGGACAGATGGCCCCTGAAGAGAACGCTCAAATATCCCCACTCCCGGCACTGAGTACCCCTGTTATGTGACCTTCTGGGCCAAGAAAAACTATAAACAAGGTATTTGGGTGGAGTTCAGATAGAAGGCACATTATTAAAAGAAAAATAAAGCTGGTAGTGAAAACAAAACTTAGTCCCAGTGTGAAATTCATTAATCCTAGTAGAAAAAATAAAAGGGACCTTAGGGGCTGGGCCAGTCATTGCAGGGACACGGGGACCTCACACTGGGAGAACCCAGCTTGGCAGCCCTTCTGCCACTTTCTTTGGGGAAAAAAATCCCACCTTTGAACTGCTGGAATGGCAGAGGGGGACAACTAGGCTCCATGTCAGCTGTGATAGAAGTTGGACAGGCCATGTAGGACATCCTATAGAGCATCACTAGAGCATCATGCCCTTGTGAGAAGCCTGCTCCTCAGGGAAAGGCATCTCACCCCTGCACCTCCACTTTAGAGATGATCTACAGGAAGCCCAGGTGTGCGGGATGTGCTTCGAAGCACTGTTCCCAGGAAGTCGGGACAGGAGCCGACTCAAGATCCATTAGCGGAGTTGTGTTAAGTGAGTTTGCTGTACTAGCTCTAGGAGAGGGAGAGGCAGCTCCGCTAGGCTGGGGCAAACGGTTCCCGAAGGCCCTGGCAACTGGGCAGGTGCTAGGCCTGAGAACCTGGGTCTCAGCTCTTGCTGGAGAGAAAAGAGCCAGGAACCCACATGTGCTCAGAATAGGTCCACTGGGGGCTCCTGGGACACTTATATGAATGCCTATTTCCATGGGGTTAGGAAACATGTTCATGGGTATCTTCATAATCCTTTTTATGACTTGTTCTTCAAATCAGGTCTTACTGCCTCTGAAACCCCGTGCTGTGCCGTGTGTATGTGGCAGCCTTGGTGTGTGTGGGTATTGGCTGGTAGGACAGGGCACAGATTCCTGTCCAGCGATAGCAGGTCTCTGACCCTCCTCTTGCCTCCATCTTTGGTGAATTCAGTGACAGGGGAGCCTCTGTCCTGGTGATATTTTGGTGGTGGTGGGGTGTTACACAAGAGCTGGTTTTCCAAATGGTGTGGGGAATGTGAAAAGCCACAGGCACTCCCCAGCCTGGGGTGAGACTCACTGGTGGAGAAGACCAACTTGTGGGAGACACAGACCTTCTCGGTGGGGCGGCACACAGCAGGCAGGCACTGGCTCATGCTGCTGACCTTGAAGCACTGGAAGCAACTCAGGTTTGAGGCTGTGGGGACATAGCAGGCATGGGACCCTGGCCCCAGTGCCCCCCTCCTCCTTCTCTGGACTCTCACCCCAGCCCCATTCCTCCCCCAGCCCCATTCCTCTCCCAGCCCCTTGATCTTACCTGACATTTTCATCTTGCCTTTCTTGAGCTCCAGGGATACCACGGACACCCACAGCACCAGCACCAGCATGAGCCCCTCCATGTGCCCCCTTCCCAAAGCTCTTCCTGGCATGTGCCTCTCTAAGGTCCTGGGATCTGACAGCCTCTTCACCAAGGAAGAGTAGTTGGGTCAGTATGGCCTCTCAGCCAGGCCTGCCTCTGCCCTGAGGTCTCTTTCCTACCCCATACTGGTACACGTCATGGGACACAGCACCCAGATTGGTTCCGGATGAGGGCCAGGATGGCTCAGGGTGGAACATCTTGTCCCTAAGCCCCTGAGAAGTTGGGGGTGGTAGGATACCTTCCCTCAGGTGTGGTGGGAGTCATCAGGGGCTGGAAGCTGAGGGGACATCTAAGGGGGCCGAGGAAGGGGCCCACCAGAGACATGCTGGTTTGAGCATGTAGGGCAGGGAAGGGGGAGCAGAAGGCCACCATGGAATGAGAAGGAAGGAGAGAGGAAGACACATGAGCATTTGAGATCAGGCGCCCTCCCCAGATGACCCTTGGGCTGTGGTTGGGAAAGCGGGCTCTATAGCTCAGATGGGAGTGGGGCACTGGTGCAGGGATCCCAATAGGCGCTAGGGCTATACAGAAGGGCTGTTCCCTGGGGAAGCCAAGGCTCAGGGACCTGAGCTGGGCTTTTGAGACCCAAGTCCTCAGACCATAGCTCTTGTGCAGCTGCCTGGGCCTCCAGGGCCCCTGTTGCCCCAGGCCAGTGCCTGGACCAGTTGCCTGTCCCTGTGATGGGACCCTGCCAGGTTGTCAGGGTGTTTGAATACCTTGGGGCCCCACAGGATTTGGGCTTCTAGTTTCTTCCCTGTGGCATACTGGTTGCAGTGTGGGACATAGCTCTTCCTGTTACCCTTACCACAGCCCCGCTCCCCATTTATCTTTATAATCCTCTACACATCCTCTACTTTGTATTATTATTATTATTATTATTATCATTATTATTATTATTGCCACCACCACCACCACCACCACTATTTTTGGAGCCAAGCAAGCTGAACTATGTCGTCTCTGGGTCATTGGAACCAGCTGGCCTGGAGGTTGCAGCTGCTGAGGCTACAAGGGGGAGCTGCCTCTCACAGGCAGGGTTTCCCTGGGTGGGCTTTCTCCTGTTCGGATGTGCCCACAGCTCTCTGTGTCCCTCCACCACCTCACCCTGGAGGTGCCCAGCAATGGGCAGGGAATGCTGCCTTCATCCGCAGGGCCACCAGCCCAGCATCTCCTGTGAGCCTCTCCCTGGAGCCCATCTCCTCAGCCTGTCACCCTAAGCTGCCAGATGTGCGTGCCTGGGGTCAGGGGCCACGTAGCCTTCACACCAGGTGTCAGTTTCATTCATCTGTTCTTCTCTCTGGTCTCGAATCTTAACCCACTTGGTTTGAACACTGAAGTAAGGTGATGCGGTGTAGACTGGAATTTGTAGAGATGAACACAGCCTGGTGACACATCCTCAGAAGCTGAGCCCTAGACAACAAAAGGATAACTACTTCCTATAAGGGGCTGGGAAGTGCCTGCCCCTACCTTCACCAGGGGTGTGGCTTCTCCCAGTAGGCTCAGTAAGCTTCCCCATAAAATAACTAACTGTTGGGCTACTGGTAATGACGCCTGTCTACAGCAGCCAGCTTGTGGGAGAGAAAGGAGCAACAAGAAAGACGGCAGATCCTAGCTTAATTTTGAGGAAACAAAAGCAGAGATAACCCAGGAATTGCAGGCCTGGTGGGGACCACAGCAGTAGGGCAGGAAGCACAGGCAGGGTGGGAGAAACCAGAGAGAAAGTCTTCCCTCCCAGTGCGCCTTTGGGTACATTTCTGACATTGGTAGCTACTGAATAGAAATTTTAAAAAAAGAAAGAAAAAAAAAAAAAAAGAAAGTTATTACAGATTGTTAGAAGGGAAATAAACCAAGCTTTTTTTTTTTTTTTTTTTTTTTTTTCAGTGAATAACAGCCAGCCACACAGAAGAGGAGCAAAGTTTGACCCTGAGGTTCTCACACGGTTTGGACCGCATCCCCTGCATAAAAGGGGGAAAGAGGGCGTTGCAGACACTGAATTCTGGTTTCTGCTTCCCAGAAATGAGAATTAGCTATTCTAAAGCTCTCCATTTGAGAACCGAGTTACTAAAGGAGTGCATGGTAGACAATGGGTCAGATTTCACTGCTGGAGAAGGGAGTGAATAGCAAAGGAGTTTTGTATTGTATTGTTTCTCCTAAAACTCCAAACTATGACAACATGTGCACGGCTTCCCCTCTTCCTCTTCAGTATATTCAACTCGATTGACCTGCATGAGTTGACCTCATTGGTGTATGTGTGCTAACTAGGGCTTCTTTCTCTTTTCCTTTTGTTCTCTTCTACCACCTGGTTTGGAAATATGCTTGGTGGTGCGCCAGGTCCGCTCATCCTGCAGGGACTGGTAGGTCTGCCCTGGGTCCAGAGGCGGGGCCTGCACACTGACCACACACGTGGGCCCTGGAGCCCAGGTGTGACTGCACAAAGCAGCAGGTGTAGCTGGGTTATTCCCTGTAAAGAAAACCCCCACCCCCACACTTTGGCTCCTACCAGGAGCGACAGTCTGAGCCTGATGGGCCTGGTGTCCTCCCACTCCTTCCTCCTTTCTGTTGGAGAGTCAAGTGAGGGACACAGGTGTGCCCGGCTCCACCGTGTCCCTGTTCCTTGGGAGTGAGTGGCTCACGGACCACGTGTGCTCCTACCCTGGCTCAGGGGGCCTCAGTTGTCCCAGCTCTGATCCCTCAGTGCCCTGCCATCCATTCTTGCCTGTTGTCAGTGGCAGGCACTTGGACAGAGAGCTTTAGGCTCCCCAAGGTGGGAGCTCTGAGGCCTGGTTTATTGCAGAGCCCCTGGTGCCTGTCCTAGAACCTGGCACTAGGTGCTAGTGGACAAGTGCATCTGGACTTTTAGTTAATTTAAACACCATGCCATACTGCGAGGACATGAGAGCTGGGGAACCTTGTGTCCCTTGCAGGACACCCTGGGCCTCACAGGGTTATGGCTGTGCAGCTTTCAGACAAGATCGGGAGCATTCAGGGTGGTATGGCTGTAGACCTGTGCAGCTTTCAAATCCTTGGCTCAACCCAGCACACCCTCACTTGGCTGCCAAGCACAGCCCAGCATCATTACCTCATGATTGGTCCATCAACTGAGCACTGCCATCCTCTGAGGCGACGTGGACCCATGAGGATGGCACTATGGACGAGAGCCAGCATCCCTAGCGACCACCCACAGGGTGCCAGTGATACCCCCACCTCGGCCGGCCGGGACATCCCTGGGGTGGGCCCTTCCTTCTCTTCAGGTCTTTCTGTGGCGGTCTCTCACCCCAGGCCCTGCTCATAGCCAGGGCGTCACAGTGGGGTCCCATCACAGTGGGGTCCCATTCAGGATTCCTTGCTCCGTCTCCCCCACCTGAACAGGAGAGGTTGGTAGCACGGACACACCAGGGCACATCCACCTGTCGGGAATGGGGTGGGGCACGGCAGGAGGCCACAGCGGGGGGACAGAGCAAGTGTGCCCCACCCCCGGTGCTGCCACTACTCGGCATGCCTGTGCCAAGGGGTCAGGAAGGCCTGTGTGGCCACTTGTGCCAACCTGCTTGCACATTAAGCATGGGACACAGCCAGTTCTTGTTCAAGGGCCGGAGGACATGCAGTGAGTCTCTGCAAACAGGAGCGCCTCCTGTTGTGTGGGGTGGGGTCAAGGTATGCCCGCCCTCTGAAATTAATAAGTCCTTCTGCTCACCCAGCAGTAGGGCTTGGCTTCTTTTTGTCATCTGCCCCTGCCAAGGTCCTCGCAACACTCTGGCTAGCACCATGTCCTCAAGCAATGTGCCTGGACCATGGGTGGCCAGCCATGGGTGGCCAGCCAGTGCCTTTTTCTCTGCTGTTCTGGCAGGACTCTGGCTGGGGCTTCTCGGTGGTAGGAGGGATTCGGCAGGGCTGATGCTTGGGGCGCAGAATAGGGCTGCCGGATGAGCACTTCTGGGGCTGGGGGAGCAGGGACAGGGGAGGGCCAGCTGGGAGGCACTCTCAGTGTGGGCAGGCCCTGCCCTGCTTGCCTAGGGTCACCAGAAGGTGGGTGCCACACACTGCATAGACTCAGGGCTGGGTGCAAACAGGAGCTATGGTCTTTTGACATGTCCAGCTGCCAATGCTAGCCAGCCTGTGCCAGACACTACCATCCCTGTCACAGCAGGGAGGGACAGCCACTGTCCAGCCACTGCTCTGTCTCTTTGGATTGGATTTATTCTGACAAATAATAAGTAAATATTTAGCATGAGTGGGTCCCAAATGTTAGTAAAAATAATTTTCTGCTGTTTCTCTGAGACTCTGACTTAACTGTATATCTTGGATTTTTGTTCCTTTGGTACAAAAACCTATGAGTGAGTAAGGAGGCTAACTGGCTCCTCAGACGCCCCCAACCTAGATGGCAAATGCAGCCTCCATGGGATGCGGGCGACTGAGGGCAGGCGTCATGCCCTCCTGACCTTAGGAAGGTTGTCCAAGGGGCACAGATGGGGCATGACTGAGGAAATGGTACGTGCTTCGGGGGCAGGAGGAAAGCCAGAGCTTTCTCCAGCTGGAGGCAGGACGTGTGACTGGCAGAGAAGCCAGCTGCGGTGCACTGAGGAACGTCCATCTTTGCTGAGGGACACTGGAAAGTGCCGGGGGGATGTGGGCAATGTCCAGGGCAAAGCTCCACCACACTGCCCCAGGGTAGGATGTGGCTCCAAGGATGCTCGACAGGCCCCCTGGGACTCAGGCCTGCAGAGTCCCGAGGAGGCCAATTCAAGTTGTTTAAAACAAAAGGGAAGAAAGTGGCCACAAAGAGTGCTTAGCAGAGGGTGAGCAGGACCCCTGTCCCTCCCACACCAGCACACGGGGAAGAGGGACAGGGAGGGCCAGCCAGTCCCCAGCTTCTCTCCTAGCCTTATCTGTCCTGGTCAGCCAACAAACTGACACCCTGGAAAGCCGCGGGGCTGGTCACACTCACTCAGTGTCTCCCTAGTGTCCCTCCCACGTGGCAGTCAGGTAGCAGAGGAAGCCTTTACTCGTAGCAGCCCTGAAGCTGCCCTCTGCCCTGCAGAACACGGCAGCACGTGCTCGCTGGCTCCCAGCTGCCCTCGCTGCTCTCCAGGGCCTGTCCTCCTGTCCCCAC